TTTAAATATATTGTCTTAATTAAAAATTAACAAAGTTTGCATTATTAAATAGAAAAAATTACAAAATTAACATCATTATTTGCACATTTTTTCATAGAACTAGGAATATAACTTTGTAGAGAAAAGGTGCACATAAGTATTTGAATTTTGTCCCTTTTTTCTTTTCTTTTTTTTATTTAAAGATGCAAATTTTGTTGATTTCTAAATAATATGGTAAACTTTTAACTTTTTTTCATTTAAAAATATTAATTTTACAATTTTTTTATATAAGGATTAATTTGAGTGGTTAAAAAAGCCATTTGATACATCAACATCATCATCCAATTAATCATAAATAGAAAAAACACAAAATTAATATTTTTAAATAAAAGAAATTAAAAATTCACCATTTTATTTGAAAACTAATAAAATTTGCATTCTTAGATATAAAAATGGAATTTTCTAATTTATAACCTTAAAGTATTAGTGAAGAACACATTTTTAATATTAATTGTTATTAAAAAATAAAAAATTAATTTTTTAAAATTAATTATCTAATTAAAATAATTCATGTGACATACATGATAAAAATAACATTAAATTTTTTATGTGAGCGGCACCTGTTAAAAAAACACTTAAAAATAATAAAATTATAATCATTATGTACACTTTTTACACTTTTTTCTAACTTTATACCACAAATTGGTCAGCTGTGCACAACATTTCAGTACTTGATACAATTGTACAGTTAAGATCACTCGCATACTTAGCAACTAAATGGAAAATATACCAACTAATTACAGACTCAAGAATATAGATAGATTGCTTTTTGGATCCATTTGGGTACATTAATTCTGTACTCGGCAGCATTTTTCGCTGTTAAGGGTTAGCTTAATATGAATCAAGTTCAGGATTTAGCTCCGATGTCCGTTAGCTTTTGCCCTAAAAAATGTCTCTAATTAAGAGCTATGAACTATAGTGAGAAATAAAAATCACCCTTCCAAATTGCACTAATATTTTTAACCATTGAAAAAGGGATAGGAGTTTAATATAGGTGGATCTGGTCTTTCATTTTTTTTTTTTTTTTAAGTGGTAAGGGTGAGATTCGAACTTCGAACTCATCAGAGGAAGAGAGGACTGCACCTTTAAGGTAATCCGAATGGTCAGGTGCAGATCTGACCTTTCATTAATGACTAAGTTCAATGTAATTTGTATAAGATAAACTGTTTTTTATTTTAAAAAAAAAAAGAAAAGAAAAGAAAAGAGCAGTAGGAAAGAGAAAACTCGAAACTTCTCAGAAATTGAATACATTATATTGGACACCTCACTAAAAAGGAAAATTTGTACATTTTCATTAGCTTAATTTCCCATGGATTTTTTTTTTTTAGCAGCCTTTTATGTAATACATCAAATCAAAGCTAGAATTATGAGATTCAGCCTGAATTACTTATTTATTCCGACTCAAGTTGAGTCCTGTTGTAGAGATTCATCATTTGATTCAAGAGGCACCAAAACGAAGAAGGTAAATGAGCTGATAAAAAAAAAAAAACAAAGAAAAACTAAGAAGGTAAATGAGAAGTTGGATTAGAAAATATGGTACTTTACATGAACTGGGCTCTCGGACGATTGGATCCAGCGGCGGAAGGGAAGCTGTTAAAGGAAACGCCCATAGCGGGGACGGCGAGAGCTGTCTCCATCAACAATCTCTGCTGAAAGGCCTCCATAGTGGTTCCTGCTTCTGCGAAGTCCTTAATCAAGTTCCTGTAGTATTCCTTGAGCTTCTTCAGCACGCAGGTTTTTTGCAACTTCTGCCACCTCAGTTTCATCCTTCTTATAATCCTCACTAGGGAAAATCCTCTCCTCTGTTTCTTCCTGCCTCCAAGACGAATTATTGGAAGCTTCCTCCTCCGCAGGATGATTCTCCGCTGAGTCGACCACCGGAAGGTGGTGGCTAGTTGTGTTGTGAGTGGAGTTTTGGGTTTGGTTTGGTGATCCTCAGCCATTTTGGTGTGTCAGAGACTTCCAGGGGAAGAGAAATGAAGTTTGAGTGCAACTGTAAAAGCAGACCAAAGAACCTTTGGCTCTTTGGGTATTTAGAATAATTTGAGATTCGCTCTTGGTTTTTAACTTATAACCATCAAAACCGAGAAGAGGGGGAAATATTTGCAGAAATATTTATTTATTTTATTAATATTATATGTATAATAATTAATATATTGGTGTTTATAAAAAAATATATTTTAAAATATTTTAAAATAAAAAATATTTATAAGAAAATATTTAAGATATAAAATATTTATGATAAATATAAATAATGTGAATGGTTAATTATCAATTTTTGTGTTTATATTTTAATAATAAGAATTTTACAAATGAATTAAATAATTTAATGATAATTTTTCTTTAATAAAAGTAAGAGATTTATACTTTAAATGCATGATGTGTAAATAAAGTAAAATAAATGATAAAAAAAATCATATTTCTCATTATGTAATTTAAAATCAAAATGAAAAAAAATTAATAAGAAGAATTTAATTGAGTAAATGATAGTTAGGGTAGAGAGTCTCGATGGTTACACCAAAAACTAATAAGGTTTTTGGCCAATTGTTATCTATTAATTTTAAAACAATAATTTAGGGTCACAATTAAGACTTTAAACCATTGCAAAAATAAATATCTAATTCTCAACGTTCAGAAACACAATCATAAAAAGTATTGACTTTAAGAGTTGGATTATACATGGTACTAAGGTCTAGGGTCAAAAATTGGGTCATAGGGAAAATATTTAAAACAAAATTTAATTTTTTTTAAAATACCAAACTTATCTGAGAGTATATAATATCCTTAAGATCACTTCTTCTTCTTTTTTTTTATTTATGAACCATCTTTTAGATCACTTAATAAATAATAATCACGAAATGTTAATTTAAAAAAAGAATAATAGTTAAATGTGTACAAATTAATCTATAAACAAGGCACTTGGCCAAATTTAAAAAATATATATCACTGTTTAAACCTTTCACATATTTGATGTGATATGACACAAAACAGGGAGAATTCTCTTCACATGCCGTTTAATTTCCAATTCATGTAACATGAAAAGACTTCAAAGCATTGATCTCGCTTTTGCTTATGCCTTAGCTAATGAGTGCTTTCCTTTATTGATAAGCATTAAAGTTTGCCTTACTTGCCTGCTACTATAATTCGTTCCTGGGGATTCCATTTTTAATCCCATGGCTATCGATTTCTCCCCATATTTTTCTTTTTTCACAATTCCCACTAGCAACAGCACAACGCAAAAAAATTGAAATGTTTGGATGCAGTTGATTAAAAGTTTAATTTTTACTAATATTTTGAAAAAAATATCTTCAGAAAGAAAAAAAAAAAGAGAACAGCTCAACACAAAATATTTGATTTATTTTAGAATTATCAATTTTTTGTTTGTTACATCACGCATTACGCAGGTTTAGATCTACTTCGTGATTTAGCTGTATTAGAATCTTGTATAATCAGTTAAGCTATGATACTGAGATAAATGATTTTCGCTGCTTTAATTGTTTTTTTTCTCCTATTACACACTGATTATCTATTTTATCTTGATACCGCGTGATCCATGCCGAAAGTAATTAAATTGTGATGCTGGAAAATCTCGGTTTTACTATTTTTTTTCTTGGGTCACGATGACAAAGAAGTTTAATCATCTCTTAAAGGAGATTCAATTGGTAAATAGCTTGATCCTTAATTTTAGAATTTTATACTTATATTTTAAATTAAATAAAGAAAAATTTGAGCGAATGAAAAAGTTGTTTTCTTACTCTTTAAGTATATAGCATCTTTATAACATTGATATGATGTCTTTTATATGCTTAAATAGTCTTATAATGTTCTATAATCCTTAGCAGATAAGACAATGTATGTGCAACCATGCTTTCCACCTCCATCGACAACAGCCGAACAGCCAGGGAGTTTCAAAAGTATGACCACGAGGATCCATGCACTTTATTACGCAGTGGAACTGTCACAATCCCAATTACTAGGCAAGGGAGTCCAAAGTCCCATACCTTGCAAATATTGGGATTTTAGAGGGAGCAATTATATCATATTTAGTATTATTATCATTATTGCTTGTAAATAAAAAAGGAACCAATCTTTTGCATATGGGTTTCCCAAGTCAATCAAACGCTATAATCATGCATGATTCATGTTATAAATGTTTTACTAGAGGGTGAATATAAACTCAAGTTGAAATAAAAGATTCAGATTGTACTAAATAATTCTTAATGTGCTTTTAAAATTCTATCACGCATCATCTTGTAATGAAGTTGATATTCAAATTAACCTATTGTGAAATGAGTTTTCTTGAGTCCCGCAACTTTAAGATGTACTCTAAGCAAAAACAAAAAAATGCCAATGAAAAATGGCAGAAGTTGAGTTTAGCCCAATGTTTTTGGATCTGGTCCGGTGGTTGATTCGTTTTGGTCATTGAGTCTGGTTGAACCGGTTGAACCGATTCATTCGATTGGTCCAATTAGTTGACTAAAAAAAGTCTCTTTTTTTTTCATTTTTATTAAATTTTACTCATACATTTTTAAAATCTTACACAAATCATCAAATCTATTCTATTGGTTGAAGGAGAGGATGGTGACTAGCAGAGGAGAGAAGCA